CACAGGGAGGATGTATGGCTTTGAAAATAAAAAGACTAATAAAAGTTATTATTACCAGTGACGCAGTTAAATATGTTTACTATTTGAGAGCCTTTCCCCAGCCCTCCTGTGGAAGCACAAGGTAGCTACTAATTTCAGTTACAGTTAAACAATTACCAAACCACCTATCTAGCCTCCGCATTTTTGAAGGCTGTCATTAGAGATGGTAGATTCATTTCAACAATGTTTCAGTTAGTGGACTTGGAGACATTTGTTGGCCATGAGCTTTGCTAATAGAAGCATTGAAGGTACAAGAACAGGCAGGTGATGGGAATATGCCAAGAAGTTACTTATTATTTCTGACATTTATTTATTCCCTAGGCTATTGTGCCATGTCTATTTTAATTTAACTATACCCTATATTATTTAGCTATATCCTATATTATGTTGCTATTGAAAATTATGATTTAAAACATGGAGTAATCCCTGTTTTGTGCCCCTGTTTCTCGGATTGTGTGTCTAGGTTCTAAAAGCATTTAAATTGGTTCTCCAATGATTCTTTTCAAAAAGTTATTTCTGCATGTAAGATCATTTCTGCCAGTGGTGGTTTTTATTGACTTAGTTTACTGCACATATAAGTTCTCTGCATTATGTATTTCTCCAATCACACATCATTATCATAATTTTGAGCACCCCTCTCACCTTCTATACTTTATCATTAGACCACTTATTTCAAAGGCCACCTAAAGTGAAAAACCAAATAAATGCATTTTAAGTTGGTAATGCATATAAAAACCTCATGTCATAATTACAAGATTCAGCTGAAAGGTAAATTGCAGTGTGTGTACACCGAGATTTAAAATCAGGTGCCAGGGACATCAGCATGCACGGAGAATCTGCATTCTCATGCCTTAGGAAATTTACCAATATAAGGAAAGTCTAAGAAAAGGTACCCCAGGATTGGTGTGTGAATATGTTGCTTTATCTAAATTCATCTCATCTCAATTTGTTCACATGCCTTTGCTGGAAAAGGAAGTCCAAAGGGTATTATTATATTATGGAAATAATACTGGCTGGTAGTTCTAAGTTCTAATTCTGACTTTACCACTAAGTAGCTGCATGACTATAGGGAAGTGACTTAACCTCTCTGGTTCTCATTTAAACCAAGTGATCTCTTCAGGTCATTTCTAATGTGAACCCTCGATGATTTAAAGAGATCTAACTTTTAGATGAATTGTGGTGAGTAGGGGCTGCTCTGAACAGCCCCTCTTTCCCAGGGGTCAGGACTTTTGTTCCTCACTCCCAGTTGGAGCCACTTTGGCCCCATCAAAGACTTTCTCCAGGAAAACTTCACAGCAAGGACTCAAAAGTGATGAGGGAGCTGTCCTAAAACAACATCCTCAAGATGGCCCAATCAGATAAAGAATCTGAATGGGTGTGGGGTTAGCCAGAACCCAAAACTTTTGTCTTTTCTGGAGGACCCTCTCAGGCCTCCCCAGCTAAACTCATGGTCATATCCCCTCCTTTGTTCCTCTTCTGTATTCATTTATCAGCAAATTCCCCTTCCAAGTCTCCTTTTCATCTCCAGATTGACATCCAAGCTGAACTCTGCCTGTGAGGACAGAGAAGGGATCATAAAGGAAAGTAAGCAAAAATAATGAGATCCATTCCAACTTAAAAAAAAA